CGCGCCTTCACTCATCGACGTACAATGGACATATCTTGGCATTGCTCTGTTCGACGTCTGCCTGGCTCTCATATTCTTCTACTTGCCGATACCAGAAGCGTCAGATGACGACTTGGAAGAGATGGCCGAGAGGCGTGAAAGCGTCTTCAGACGAAGGTTTGCCGGTCTCCCAGTCATCCATGTGACTCTCATAGTCGGCATCTTTACCCAATTCTGCTACGTCGGAGGCCAAGAATCCGTTGCAACATATTTCGAACAGTATGTCGCATACGTCAAGCCCAACTCTGACATCGGCCCCTTCAACTACCAAGCAGTTGGGCACTCCGTCTTTGCAGTCGGCCGCTTCATAACAGCCGTCGCAGGTCTGCTCATCAAACCTCGCCGTATCCTCTTCTTGCTTTTCATTGGTGCCATAATCACTTCTGCGCTCGCCATGAGCTTTAGCGGCTACAAAGGCGTCGCCATGATCGTCCTAGTCCTCTTCTTCGAATCCGGGATCTTCTCCCTCGTCTTCGCCATCTCTTTGCGTGGACTGGGCAAGCACAGCAAGACCGGCTCGGTACTCCTCACAGCTGCTACATCCGGCGGGGCCATCATCCCCGCCATCATGTGGCCGGTAGTCAGCAATCATAGCGTCCGCTACGCGTTTTGCGTGGTGGTCGCCGTCTTTGCTTTTGGTGCTCTGATGCCAATCTACCTTTCCATCAGCCCAGCAGCCAAGAAGCAGGTAGACCCTATACAAATGAGGCAGAACTCGATACTCGGAGGCGAGATGAGACCTACGACGCCCAACAAAGCGAACAGGATCTTCAGCGCCGTGGTCAGGAGGAAGAAGACGAGCTCGGAGACTACGACCTCAGACCTGCCGACGTGTGAGCATGTGGAGGGCGAGGGGGCCCAAAGTCGATGCTCATGTCACGCTAACGGGAGGGAAGGTGAATGTTCCTGCCAGCGGGATGAGTCATCACATAAGGCGCAGTGGCCTGGCTGAGAGATCTACAATTATCCTCTGATTTGAATGCTGCGTTTGAGCGTGGCGCTGGGGATAACCGCCCAAAATCGAGGCTTTGGAGATGGTGTCACATAGCATGGCATAGCGTAGCACATCACATGGTCGGTGTCCATGTCGAATCTGACACCTTGGAACGACTATGTATCCGATCTCTTTTCCAGAAGGCTCCCAAAACTTCCTGTATCGCATCGTCCCACAATCTCCGGCTCCGTGCAGGCGGACAGACCAATCAACCAACCCGTTCGCACGCACGCACGCTCGACGCGCCATCCGTCACCGTTGTGTACCCGCGTCTTTGAAGAACCCCGCTCGAGTTTTACCCACACTCCCTTTCTCTGGTTCTCTGGGTCTCTGGGTCTCTGGTTCCCGGGGCCTACGCCATCGTACACAATCTGTGGATATACTATCTATCTCTATCTCTGTCTCTATCTCTGTCTCTATCTTTCCTCCGCTGGTGTACGATTGACCTTGGGTCATGGGGTCGTTGTAGCTGCCTTTTTGGGGGGTTTCCCTTCGTTGGACTACTTCGTCGGACTACTTTCTCTCTTTCTTTTTTCTTTCTTTCTTTCTTTCTTTCTTTTTCTCTTTTTCTCTCTTTCTCTCTTTCTCTCTTTCTCTCTTTCTCTCTTTCTTTCTTTTTTCTTTCTCTTTCTCTCTTTCTCTCTTTCTCTCTTTCTTTCTTTCTCTCTTTCTCTCTGTCTCTCTGTCTCTCTTTCTCTCTGTCTCTCTGTCTCTCTGTCTCTCTTTCTCTCTGTCTCTCTGTCTCTCTGTCTCTCTGTCTCTCTTTCTCTCTGTCTCTCTGTCTCTCTGTCTCTCTGTCTCTCTGTCTCTCTGTCTCTCTTTCTCTCTGTCTCTCTGTCTCTCTGTCTCTCTGTCTCTCTTTCTTTCTTTCTCTCTGTCTCTCTTTCTCTCTTTCTCTCTTTCTCTCTTTCTCTCTTTCTCTCTTTCTCTCTTTCTCTCTTTCTCTCTTTCTCTCTTTCTCTCTTTCTCTCTTTCTCTCTCTTCTTCTCTCTTTCTCTCTCTCTCTCTCTCTCTCTCTCTCTCTCTCTCTCTTTCTCTCTTTCTCTCTCTCCAGGCGGGGCCTTCGGGGTGGACGTCCAACCAATCTTTCCGTCCAACAGGCACGCCGTCCCTCCATCGACGGAACCGGGAAGCGGTGATCGATTGATCTACTGTGTGGCATGCGCTCGCCGATACCGGTTGTAGAAGTCGGTGGCCTGGGCTGGCGGTGGGAGTGGGGTCGATGGGATGGAGCGGGATGGTTTTTTTTTCTTTGGGCGCATGGGTGTGCTGGACTTTTGTTGCTCGTGCTGGGTGGGTTTGAAGCGGTGTGGCGTATTCGTTGCGCATTCTCTTTTTCTTCCTTCTTCTTTCTTTTCCCCGAGGACGGCTTGGGAGGAGGCTGTGGCTGTTGGGATTCCGGTTCGGATTCGGGAAGGGTCCGATGTCTGTTCGGCACGGATGGCTGATGCTGGATGTGGATGGATGTAGTCGGGCCGGTTCCTCTGACGTTGCGTGTGCGGATTCGGTGCCCCGTCGGGAGAGAGGAGATGGTTGTTCGAGCTTTGCTCGTGCTTCGTCAGGTGAGGTTTGGGCTTGCGATCTGTACCGGTGTGTTCGCAGATGCGACGGTGGTCCCGTGCGTCGACTGCGAGCGCTGAGCTGGACTGGACATGTCTGCGCTGTTTTTCCGACGCAGGATGTGCCAGTTTGGTACTCGTGAGGAAAGGGCGGACGGATGTTCTTGGCTGCTTCGGGATGCCTCTTCATTCGAGCGTGGCTTAGAAGCATGTTCGAGCTTGAGCTTCGTCGAGTAAATGCAGGTGAGCAAAAGCATGTAGCATCGCAATCACACGCTAGATGACGGGTGCCCGAGCCGTTGTTAAAGCCTCTTGCAGGACCTTGATATGTCCGGGAAAATTGTGGGCGACGATCTGTGTTGGTTTTTGGCTGATTTGTTTGCAGATGGACAGTCGTCTCTTTCAACATTCATGACAGTTGTAGGCACTAAGTGGTAGCACGGACTTCGGTATGTTCAGCTGCGGTGGGTGTGGTCGTGCAATATTTTCGACGGTTGATTTGGAAATCACCATGCCGATCAGAGTTTTCTGATTCTGTATAGGCAACCAGCTGGCTCGTTAACAGCCCCTTGTTGCAACTTGTGATGACGACTTCTGTCATTGATGCCAAGCAGACGTCGGCACTCGAGCCCGGGCAATATAACTGGCGTTGAAACACTGTCCTTTGTTCATTAGCCTTCTGATTCCTTCAATAATGATCGATGGATTTACTTCTGCGTATTACTCTGCTGAGAAGTGAGCAGACAATGAAAAAAATATGAAGTGTATCAGAGGGTAAGTACATTCAAAGAAAGCTGGCATATATGCGTACCGCAGTGCCCATTGTTGATCCGGCTCCGGCAAGCGGCGCAGCGGTCAAATACGTCTTGATATACGTGTTCTTACGAAGATAGTCATTCTATTACAGTTGGAGACAGTGGTGGAATGGCAAAAAGATCGAAAAATATGCGAATGACTTGATATGGGGCCACAAATCTAATCTGAGCCAGCGATTTTAGTTGCAAGTATCAAACCGGAGAAATGTCTCTCTGATACTGAGACACGATGTGATCTTACACATTTCGAAACCATCGTGTAAGTCACGTCAAGCAAGTTTCGCATAGTGTCCAGTCATCAGATAGAAGATGTAGAGGTTGGATGCCATTATTGCTTGCTTAAGTGCGGCGCACATATCCTGAACGCATGTATCATTGACTGAGAATTCACTTGCTGTTGCACAATCTGAAGGGGTCGAGCCACTCCATGAACACTCTCTCATAGCAAAGAAGCAACCATAGAAAGGACGCAAAGGTTATATGCCATGCGCTTGATCAAAGTGGTATCCATGTGTGGAGACGGGAGATGGTTTTGCTTGGGGTTAAAGTACTCTCGACAGCCGACGCTAGGAGCTATGGATGCTGGTTGTGAATCTCCTCAGTGTCGCTTCCGCGGTGAAGCGCAGTTTTTCATAGCCTTGCAGGCTTCACCCTTGATATGGTCACACTTTCGTAAAGGATGAGCTTTTCTAAGTGAACCAGATCAAGCAATTAGAACTCTAAGACTATCACAACGGCAGAGGGAACTACGTTTCCGAAGCATCATACCTTAAGAAGTTTCGTTTTGGAAGGTTGCCACACTGTCATGGAACATGGTGCATTGAATGCAGCACACAAGGGAAGGATGTGGATGAAGAAGGATGCCGTCGAAGAGTGACATACTGAGAAGCATCTTCCTACACAAAATGCATCATATCTTACTTTTTGTTGGAAAGAAAGTAGGGAGGCTGGGGAATGTCGCGTAGAGAAGCACAAAGCTCATCTTTTTCTCCATGCATCTTGACTCGGCTAATTGCGCGTCGACCATGGGGCCGCAGAAGCACAGTTCTATTATTAATCAAAGGTAAAATCTAGAGGTAGAAGGACTGGAGCTTCCGAGGTGAATTCAGCACTCAACAGTAAGGTACCTAAGGTACTCTCTTACTTGTAAGTGCTTTCGAAACCGTTACAATTTACAAGATATTCCTCTCTCCCCTATACTTGGTAACTTCAATACTTAACAGACAGATTCTTTTCCATAATGCTTCGAAAGACAAAGGTATCAATGTACCCTTTCTAAATATTATACTACCATGCATATTGCCTAGGGTACTTTTGTGTCGGTAAATTACATGGAGTAATGAAATCGACATGTGGCCCCACAGTTCGGCAAAAGTTCATGATGAAAGCAGCGCTTACCCGCAAAACATCCTAGCGCCAATTCCAACTCCCGCTATCTACTTCTATATTTCTAATCACCCCCACTTTCCGCCCACACTCTCACATCCGCACCTCAAAGACCATCTTCACCCATCCTCCGCTGCCTCCGCTGTTCTTGCTTACATCCACGGTCTTTCGACCATTGCGTCGCATTGTTAACTCACCATGGCAGCCATGGACGCCTACAAGGGTCGCAAGGCACCAAACGTCTCTCACTATCTCGCCAATCTCAACGCACTTCCATCCGCCCATGACGTCGCGACCCAACAACAGGATGATTTCGAGGATGAGCTTGCTCAGTTCACCAATACCGAATTCCTCGATTTTGACGCCGGTGACTTTCTCGAGCAACCCATGCCTGAGTATGATCCAAGTCTAGAAGAGAAGGCGAGGAGGGAGAACGCCGCTGCGAACAATAAAATCGGTGCCAAGGGCATGGATTTCGTCACGGGTATGTTGATCGGAAGACTCACCCAATACGTCCACATGTCTTCGCGCATCAACAGAAGACTGCAGGCGTACCTCACAAACGTACCTCAACAACATCCATAACTCAACGCTGATACAAACCCGCTAGGCGACTTCCCCTTCGCCGGCATAGAGCCCTTCATCCCTACCTCTCCTCAATCCGCCGTCACCGCTCCTATCCAATCCCAATATCCGAGCAACGGACTACAGCCCGCCATATACCCCACCTCCACATCTCCCATTTCCTTCGAACAAGCCTTCAACCCCGCCGCCTACCCGGCCCAAAGACACCATCTCTCCCCCACCCCAACGGAAAGTCCATCCGCCCACAACAACCCCTCCGAGCCCGAAACCCCCGCCGCCCGCCTCGCCGCCGAAGAAGACAAACGTCGCCGCAACACAGCCGCCTCGGCGCGCTTCCGCGTCAAGAAGAAGCAGCGCGAACAGGCGCTTGAGCAGACGGCCAAGGATCTGGAGAATAAGACGCTCCAGTTGGAGCAGCGCATTGGACGCTTGGAGACAGAGAACGAGTGGTTGAGGGGCCTGGTGGTGGAGAAGAATGGGGGCGCCAAGGAAGATTTGAGGGTGAGGTGGGAGAAATATGGAGGTCCCGGGGAGAGGAAAGGTGAGGCGTCGAAGAAGGGCGTGGGGACTGAGGTGGTGGAGGAAGGCGCGACGGATTAAAGTAGATTTGATGGGTTTATGTATGCATCTTGTTTTCTTTTTCCGCGAAATGACTGTATGTATGTGTAATATGAGTCGGAGATATGTACCGTCAGCATTTGGATGCACGGTAGACGCACAAGTATCGGGTTTTGGTTCCTCGTGTACTGCGCGGCGAAAAACAACTTCGCCGTCCGCTCCGTTACATTTACATCCTTATACCATCTTCGCTCCTCCGTGAGTCCCAACTACCTTGCCGACCTCCCGCATCACAGATCCAACAAACCACCCTACCCTACCCTACCCTACCCTACCCTAACGATACCATACCATACCTATTCTTACCCACCCTACCCTACCATACCTACCCTACCTACTCTACCATACCTATTCTCACCTACCCTACCCTATCCTACCCAATCTTACCCACCCTACCCTACCTATTCTCACCTACCCTACCCTATCATATCTATTCTTACCCACCCTACCCTACCCTACCTATTCTTAGCTACCCTACCCTACTCCACCCTACCTATTCTCACCCACCCTACCTATTCTTATCCACCCTACCCTACCACACCTATTCTTACCTACCCTACCCTACCTATTCTCACCTACCCTACCCTACCCTACCCTACCTATTCTTACCCACCCTACCCTACCCTACCATACCTACCCTACCCTACCCTACCCTACCCTACCCTACCCTACCCTACCCTACCTATTTTTACCCACCCACCCTACCCTACCGTACCTATTCTTACCCTACCCTACCCTACTCGTATTCACTAGGATTTGCAATCTACTAGAATTTGCAATCTTTAAAATCTAATTCATATAAAACATTATTATAAGGGCGTAGTTTACTGACGATTAGCTAGCGAATATAGACTATAAAAGATATAGGGTCGTTATGGGGTTTAATAGTATATTTAATAGTAGAACTAATCTCTAAGAAATACTAAAACTTCGAGGTATACGAAGTAAATCTATATTCGTTAAGCTCTTAGATATATAAGATATATTATTAAAACTAAATTTTAAAAGAGACTCTAATATAATATATATAATATCGATATCTTAGCGTAAGCAGCGCTAAGGCTTATAATAATATTAAGTTTAATAATTATCTTCTCTTTTAAGCTTTAATATAAGAGCGTAGTTTACTAACGATTAGCTAGCGAATATAAACTATAAAAGATATAGAGTCGTTATAGAATTTAATAGTATATTTAATAGTAGAATTAATCTCTAAGAAATATTAAAACTTCGAGATATACGAAGTAGATCTATATTCGTTAAGCTCTTAAATATATAAGATATATTATTAAAATTAAACTCTAAAAGAGACTTTAATATAATATATATAATATCGACGTCTTAGCGTAAGTAGCGCTAAGGTTTATAATAGTATTAGATTTAATAATTATCTTCTCTTCTAGATCTTAATTTTTAAGCGCTTAAGTAAAAATAGAATACTTATTAAAAAATCTTTAAACTCTAATAGAAAAATAAGAGAAAAGAGTTAATCTATTATAATATCGTTTTAATAAGATAATAGAATTAATTATTAAGCGCCGTAGACGTATTATTAATATATTATATAATAATATTAATACTATTTTTAAAAATAATATCGCTTATAGTATTAATTAATAATAATCTATAATAAATCGATATATTTAATATTAATATTTTTATAGCGCTAATTAATAGCCTCTATAGCGAATAATATTAAATTTAAAAATTTATAATAAAATCTTAAAAATTTGATAAGTGAAAGAAGAAAGAAGAGTTTTTCGATAGATAACGTTATTTTTATAGCGTATTATATCTATAGCGAAGTAATATAATAATAATCTTTATTATAAAAATTTAAAAGTAGTAATTAATAAAGCGACGCGTTCGCGATAACGTCTTTAATTATTAATTAATAATAATAATAAAAATAATAATAATAGTTAGATAACGCGGCTCTATAAGATAATAGCGAAATAATATTATATCGCTATTATCTATATTACTAAATATTACTCACTAATAATAATAGCGCTATAATAAAGAATATAAAAATCTCTTTTAAATTATTTATTTTTATTCTTTATAACTTTTAATATCTCTTTTATAAGTACTTATTCTAGCGCTATAACGTTAATATTAATATTAATATAAATATAATATATCTTATTATATTAATAATCTACTTCTCTTTATTATAAATATCTTATTATTATTAATCGCGTTAATACGTAAATTAATAATTTTATAATATTCTTTTTTAATAATAATAATAACTTTAATAATAAATATATAATCGTCTTATAAACGCGATTACTAACTCTTAACTATTTCTATTATTATCGCTTTATATATATATCTATTAATAAATCTTAATATCTAATTTATTATATAAAACTTACTTTTATTAAAATAACGATTTATATATTTAAGATAAGTCTTCTCTTTATAATAATTATAAGACTAGAAAGCGCGATATTAGTCGCTATATTAAAATTTCTTTATATCTTTAAATATAAATAAGAAAATTAATATAATATTATTATTACGCTAGATAATCTTAAAAGCTATTTTATTAATAGACTAAGCTTAATAAGAAGATTATCTAATAATATAAATTATAGAGATATATAATAATAATAACTTTAATTATTTTTATTATAATTATAAATCTCTAAGACTAGTTTATAGCGATAAATAAATATATAATAAAATTAGAGAAAATAAATAAGTTATTAAAGAAGAAGTTTAAGAGCCTTTATTAATATATAATAAATATTAATAAATATTAACTCGATAATTATACTTTAATTATCTTCTTATTAAAATAATAAATTAATAAATTTAATTTAGAATTTAATAATAAGATAATAAAGAATATTTAAATAGCGATCTTTTTTTAATAATAGCGCTAGCGTAAGACCTCTAGATAGTTCTTTAATAATTACTTTAGATAAAAATATATCTATATTAATAATATATATTCTAATATAATATATTCTCTTTATAATAGAATTTAATAAATAATTAAATAATATAATTATTTAATTAATTTATATTTTAATAATAATAAGTATAAAGAAATACGCGCGTAGTATAAGTATTATCTAGAAATATATCTAATTTAATTAATATTTATATCTTATTTTATCGCGTTTACTTACTTATTATTAATTTATATAATTAAATAAACTCTTTAATAATAAAAGACTTATTATTATTTATTATTTATTATTTATACTTATTATTTATTTATTTATAGACTTAAATTAGCTTATTAATATTAATAAATTTATTATCTAATAATTATTAATTATACTCTTTATTTTAATTAATTTATTTAACTTTATATTAAATGTCTTTCTTATATTTAATCTTATTAATAATTTCTTTAATTTTTTAAAACTTATTATTATTAATAAACTCGAGAGTTTATATAAAGATATTTACTATATTATTATAATCGCGATTATAATAAAACTTAAATAATAATATATAAAAGATATTATAAATTTTATATATTAAGAATAAAAGTAGATAATATATTTACGCTTTTATCTTATCTATAATTTAAAATAATTCTATAAATTTATAAAATAACTTTTTATTTAAATATTTTTATTTTAAATTCTTAATTATTAATATTATTAAATTATCTATCTTATAATTTTAAAATTAATATATTTTATTATAATATTTAAATTAAATTATAATAGCGCTATAAAAATACTTAGCTATCTTATTTCTTAATATTTATAATTTTTTTACTTTATTATTTATAGCGAGTATCTCTCTCTTAATAAAGTTATTTTTAATCTCTTAATAAATTTTAAAATAATATTTATATATTAAAAAGAATAATATTATTTTAATAAAGAAATATTAATTATTTATATAAGTAAACTCTATTATTAATAGTTATTTTATTTAAATATTTTACTTATTATTAATAAATATATATAAAAAATATTTTAATATCTAATTTTAATACTTAATTTATTTATTAATTTATAAATAAAAGATAATATTTAAATATCGCTTAATTTTAAAATAAAAGTAAATAGTAAATTAAAAGCTATTAATAAATATAGAGTCTCTATTATTAATAATATTATTTAATATACTATAATAATATATTATTTTAAAATAAAATACTTTTGCTAGCTAAGCGATATCGATTATAATAAATATAAAAATATATTTTATTATTTTTATAAATCGATTTATTATAATTAGAATAATATTATAAATAATATTCTTATATTTACTTATTAATAAGTTAATAATAAAATCTATAGAAACTTTCTTTTATAATTTAATAGTAATAAAAAGTAAATTTAATTTACTATAGAGATAATATCGCGAAGTTTTAATTCGCTAATAAATATTATATATCTTAATATAATTAATAATTTACTTTAAATTTTTATTTTAATAATATTTATAAATAAATAATTTATATATCTTTATAGCGTTAAAATATTTAAATAATAAATTATTATAATATTTATTAATAAGCTCTTCTTTTAAAATCTTATCTCTAAAAATATAAAGATAATTATTATATCTTAATAATTTTTTAAAATTTAAAATTTATATTTAATTATATACGCGATATTTAATTATTAACTTATTAATATTAATTTAAAAAGAGTTTATTTAATTATTATAGACTTATAAATCTTAAATTAATATTTTTATTAATCTTTAAAATATATTATAAGTAATCTCTTATACGATCTTAAGCTCTTTTTTAAAAATAATTATTTAAATATTAATAATATAAAATATAAACGCTATTATCGCTATAATCTTTTTATTTTATTATAATTACTTATCGCTAATTTAAAATATAAATTTATTTTATAATATTAATAGTAGTTTAATATTTAATAGCGAATTTCTTTTTATAATTAAAATGTTATAATAACGAGTTAATAAAGTTTAATTTATTTATTTAATAAAAAACCTTAAAGTTATAAATAGCTAATTTTAGTATTTAA